GGTGCCACTTTCTGAGTCACCCATGCTGACATGCTAGTGAGCTTTGGTGTTAGCCTGGGGGTGGTTGTCAGTGGGATTCTGGACATTTTGAAAAAGATCTCCGGAGGGATATGGCTTCCTTTGGAGAGCTGGTCTTGGTCAGTTTTCATTGCCATTGTTTTGAGGCTCCTTGTGGATCTTCTGCAACCAGTAGAAGGCCTGCCCTGAGGGAGTGCTGAATTGTCTTTGCACCTGCCAGTGGGGATCATGGCCTTCAGAGAGAGAGACCAGGTAAGTGGAGAGGTAGTGAGCTTCCCAAAGAAATGTGCAGCCTTAGCCTTAGCCTATTTGTATCACTTCATCTCAATTTTCCTTTTCTGCTTTGTTTTGTTTTTGTTTTTCTTCCGGTACCAGGAATCGAACTCACGACTTTGTGCTTGCCAGGCAGGCACTGTGCCACTGAGCTAAATCCCCAGCCTCTCAATTTTCCTTTTCTAACCTTGGTATCATTGGGTTACTCCCAAAAGCATTACGATGAAAACAGATTACGACAACATAGACTATTATAAAAAGGCTGTTATCAAAAAATACAGTGTGTGTTTAAATAAAAAAGTCTTCTTGCAATAAAAGATGTATTGCAGTTAAGCTCCTTGTTTCTATCACATTTGTCCCATTGTTCCTGGTGTTTTCTGAAGCAGTTCTTGAACTCCTCTTTCCTCAGTGTCTATGAGATGTGATTAAAAATAGAGTGAATGCTGCCCCTGAGGGCCATCCTTATCCCCTCTGTTCTCCGGATCTGTTACCATGCAACTTTTGGCTGTTCCCCAAAGTCAAAATGACCGGGAAAGGTAAGCATTTTAAATCAATTCAGGACATAGAGACATCCCTGACAACATAACTAAAGATACTCATAAAAGAAGACTTCCAGACCTGCTTCGGAAAGTGGTTAAGAATAATGGGGTAAATGTATTTGAAGTGAGGGGGAGTATTTTGAGGGAGATTAATGGCAATATCATTTTTAGCATCAATAAAACGTCATCATTTTTACCATCAATATCATTTTTAAACATTCAGGATCATACCTTGTGTATGTTAAGATTATTTGAGGATATCAGTGGATGAAAGATCCAGTGGAACTTGCTTAAATTAACAAGTAAATAAAAAAGCGTCCATCATCTCTCAGGCTAAATCTAGAAGGGAAATTGCCCTCAGAGATGATTGACATCAGTTGTGGAATGAGGCCATTAGAACGCTGTCTTTTCATCTCTTTGTTGGATTCCTTTACATGGCACATGCAGAGGTGGGCTTTCTCTCTAAATAGTGCCAAGATGACCATGACTGGTGTCCAGCTTCTATTTCACAGCTTAAAAATTTCAGGAAGTGGCATACACACAGAAGCACCAGCTACACTTTCAGGGCTGATTCTCATTGGCCCAATTTGGATCATGATCTAGGCTGATTTGATCATTGTGACTGATGCATAAAAGACTCTTCAAAGTGGCCTGAACTGGCTCTCATGCCTGCCCAGAGAACCCAGCTATAGGGCCAACCCCAGAATGGGTGGAGAGTGGACAAGGAATTGGTTCATCAGTGATTTGAAAAGGACTGAAATGGAGAAGTATAAAAAGAATTGTCTCTACAATGCCAAGTTGTCAGGCTTTGAAAGAATTCTCCAGACCTTCTGGCTGTCATCTGAGGCCTTTATAGGAGGGTCTAGCTGTCTTCTCTAACCAAGCTTGTACCTGGGCCCAGACAAATGTGCTCCAGGAACCCTGAACCATCTCTTGTTTCCTGAATGCACCATATACCACTTGACCTGCAGCCCCTTCTTTATGCAGGTCTGTCTGTCTATAAAGCCTGTCCATTGATATCCTCACATCAGTTAGAACCTGCAAAAACATCAAGCCCATGCTTTGAATCCCAACTGAGAGAACTCTCTAAACACCCTTTTCTTACTTATAGCTCCCTGTAAGTCACCCACTATCTGCTTTTTTGTGTTCATAATAGTAACCTTAGCCAGCTTCTCCTTCTGTGCACTGCAAATGCCTGCAGTGTCTGATTCACTTTTACATTAAGCACACACCATAATGAATGGTGCAGACTTGAGTGGACGGGGAGGTGGGGGGGGCGGTCCATAACCACCGTGTGTTCAGAACTCAGAGCTTGTAGCCCACATGGAAAGGCAATGGGGAAAGGCAATGGAGAAAGGCAAAACGGAGAAGATTAAGATGCCAATTTCAGAATTAAATGCTCTTTGCCTTTAGCTTCTCTGGTAACATAACGAAGATCCAGGTGGTTACAAAACCTGCAAAATCAAGGCCTCAAATTGCCACTAAGGACAAAGAGATTTGATGGCTTGAATTAGCTCCCAAACAGGCCCAGAGTCGCTGGGGAAATGCAGAGGCCTTCATTCTCCAGGTCTCCCCACACACAGGCTATGAGAATGATGAAAGGCAGACATTATCTACATTCTAAATACATATAGGTTAATGAAAAGATCACTATTTTCTGGTAATCCATAATTCTCCCAAGATAAAGGACTCCTTCCTGTACATTCGAGAGCCAATAGCCACTTGGTCTGGAGTGGCCTTGGTTTCAGCTCCTGGCTGTGTTTTGACATTTCAAATTTGTAGAGGTCATGTGTGCAGCGGGAATGGCTTGCTAGAACACTGATGATAATATTCCTGGCAGGCTCAGGCGCTGGAAATTCCGGTTTCAAGATATCTCATTATCTGCAGGTGCCATAATGGGAAGCTGAATGCAGAGCTGTCAATCACAGAAGAACATTTGGAAACGCAGCAGCCACATAAAAGCTTTCCCTGACTTACCCCCTCTGCTCAATGAAGGAGAGAAGGAAGCTCGGAGAAACCGTCTTGCAAACAGTTCAGCGGCATCAAATGAGACAGGGTGGACTCAGCCATCTGATGTAGAAGGTGTCCACTAACAGCCTATAGGAACCACTTACTTCTAGAGATGAGCATCAGGAAGGTCCCTGTCTGCAGAGGTGGTGCAGGTTCCCCCAACTCCTGACCCTTTGGCCTTTCACTCACAAGGCCATGCTATGGAGGAGCAGTCTGATCACACACTCCCAAAGCCTAAAAGGTGTTCTGGGTTCCCGAATGCTAACTCATATGACTCCTGCCTGAGCTTGGTAGGCAGGAGAGATGGTGGGATGAGGGGCTGGAGTGGTCCAGACTGGGTGCTGGAAAATGCAAGATAGTTTGATCATATGCAAATGACACTGGCAAGGGCAGGGGACTGGGGATTCTATGGTGGAGCCAAGACACTTTTGTTGTCCTTTGGCC